CACACACACACACACACACACACACACACACACACACACACATATATATAAGGAAAGATGGGGGACTAATTCAACATAAACATCATATGTTACTTACAAGATTATAGGAACGTGTATACATTGTTGGGGGGTTGTGTCATTGGTTATAGAAAGTAATTAAAATGCAAATGAGAGGGAAAAATCTTCATAAAAATGATATGATTTTGAGCAGATAAAGGTAAACAAGTGAATGAAAGAGAACAAAAAATGAAACTCTGCCTAATGTTACTTATTTTATACATCGTATCTGTAAGAACAGAAACATATACAGAAGTGACTTGGGTAATGGATCGTGAGAATTTGTGCTTAGGAAATTTTTTTTTTTTGTCTATACAAGGAAACGTAAGAAAAATAATATTGTTGTTATTCTAATTAAAGTTTCATAAATATCAATTAACAAGATTTAATAAAAAGTATACATATTTTATAAATTGGATTAATTAATAATACAAGTGAAGTGATGAAAAAGATAATAAAATATACTTTCTAATTAGTGGAATGAAATGCTAGGTGAAGTAGCAAGAACATTTTGGTAACATTTCTTGAATAGTATTGACTACCTTACTAGTGGGTTTCTTTTGTTTAAAATTTAATTTAAGTGTAAATTACTAACAAGGGTATAAGTTAATTAATAATACATTTTTTTAAAAATTTAATTTAAGTATATAATTATGATTATTTAACAATAAAATAAATAAATATTATTTATTAATAATGTTTTATTATTATCCCCAGATGAGAATGAAGGAGGAGAGACTATCAGCCAGCTCCAGAGATGGAAGAGAACGGTTTGTTAAAAAGAATAAAGGACGAGAGAGGGAGAGAAAGACAGTATAGTAACGTTAAAATTCTTTCATCATTCATTTTTCCATAGTTCTACCATTATATTACAGCTTCTTATAGGAAGAGTACTAACCTTTTCTACAGTCTCGCTACTGCCCACACATGGCTTCTTGTACTAACTAATTTGCACTAAACAAAACTCAGCGTATCAATGGTAACATTCGACTAAATAAAACACAATGTATCAGTGGTAAACATTCCACTTATGAAAACATTGTCGTGTTCATCTACTAGACTCAAGCATTTCAGAAACCTAATTCTCCACAACATCCTTTTCTAACCCAGAATGCCTGTACGTATGGTATTAGGTTGACTAGTTGAGCTCCCTCATTTAGAGGTGTATAATGGTTATGGGGTCATGTTAGAGGTAACCTCTTAGGTTCTCTAAATATGTCTTCATATGATTCTAAAAGTGTCTTCAAAGGAAAACTCTTTTCAACCTGTGTGGAAGAATAGCAGACATTGAATGTATTGCACTGTCAACTTCTTGAATTAGTTTTAGGCTACACAAATTGATCTCTGCTTCTTGAA